CATGATTGCTCTGATCTTCTCTCTGAACCAGGTGTCCTAGGAACATGGTCCCCTGCAGTTTTTAATACCTATAAAAATACTTTCCACTTTTTGTCTCAATCAATAGATCGGTTTTTGTGCTCGTTTCAACAGGTTTTTACTGCCTTATCAGCCTTTATTGGAATAAAAGGGAGGCATTTTTTAATCTTTATGGGTATTTGTTAACTTGATGCTTATAGTCTCCTAGTAAATCAAGGTACAGTTATAGTCTTTATGTACATCAAGATAGTACTTATAGTCTCCACTAGTCTTTGCGTAGATACACCATGTCTCAACGTAGATCAAGATGTTACTAGTCTCTATGAAGATCAAGATAATACTAGTCTTTAGAAAAGAAATACTAATCTATATGTAGATCAAGATGGTAATTGTCTCTACGTAAATAGAGATGCTACTCGTCTCTTCGTAGATCAAGATGCTGCTAGTCTCTACGTAGATAGAGATGCGAATAGTCTCTACGTAGATCAATATACTCCTAGTCTCTACGTAGATAAGATACTCCTAGTCTTTACGTAGATAAGATACTCCTAGCCTCTACTTAGATTAAGATACTCCTAGTCTCTACGTAGATCAAGGTACTCATAGTCTCTACATAGATCAAGATACTCATAGTCTCTACGTAGATCAAGATACTCCTAGTCTCTCCGTAGATCAAGATGCTCCTAGTCTCTCCGTAGATCAAGATACTCCTAGTCTCTCTGTAGATCAAGATACTCCTAGTCTCTGCGTAGATCAAGATGTTCTTGCGTAGACACCAACATGTTCTTGTTCTAAATCTGTGTACTGCAGCATATTCCTGTTCTGAATCTGTGTACTGCAACATGTTCTTGTTCTGAATCCGTGTACTACAACATTTTCCTGCTCTGAATCTCTGTTTTGCAGCTTATTCTAGTTCTGAATCTGTGTACTCCAGCATATTCCTGTTCTGAATTTGTGTACAGAAACATATTCCTGTTCTGAATCTGTGTAGTCCAACATATTCCTGTTCTGAATATGTGTACTACAACATATTCCTGTTCTGTATCTGTGTACCGCAGCATATTCTTGTTCTGAATATGTGTACTACAACATATTCTTGTTCTGAATCTGAAAATAATATGCTGTGAACTCTGAGCAAAAACTAGACAAGACTAGCTCGAGCTCAACACTGGATTTCTTTAAAGGTTTCTACGTATATAATTTCAAAATTTAAAATTCAGAAAGACACGTTTTTTAACGTCGTTTTCAATACAAAACCGCCACCTTCTCCTGTACCAGTCAAAATATCATACTTTTTGTTACAGAGGAATTTTACACTACAAACTGACACACCAGAGCAAACCTTAATATATTAACATTTTCCACAGGGGAGTCACAGTTATAATTGAGAGAACGGTAATTACAGATTTTACACAACTCTACAGTCTACAGTCTACAGTCTACAGTCTACAGTCTACAGTCTACAGTCTACAG